TCCCTGCTTCCTCTCCCAACCCCCCATCTCCCCATCCTCTGGGAATCTACTTGCACAGCTTGTTCCAAAGACTGCCACGGAGCAGGAGAGTGGCTTCCTGTTTCTTCTTGTCCAAGGTCATCTTTAGGGCTGTCCCTTGGGACCCTGCCTTCTTTCCCAGGTCTGTACTTTAGTAAGAGGGGAATGTTGGCATTCCGTGGAAACTGTTGCAGTGGTATTCCACAGTCTTTTTTTTTTTTTTTTAATTACAAATGCGCCCAGAATTCCAAGCAGCCATCATCATTTGCCATTTAAAGGTGGGACAGCTTGCCCTTTCACCTGCCACCTGTTAAGTGTAAAAGCTTGTCCTTTCTCACCTGCTAAGCAGGCAGAGCTGGAAAACACACCATGACCAGGATCTGTTAGCATAAAACTGGCCTCAAAAGAGATCCTCCACTTTTCTACCTTTTCTCCTCACGTACAGACAGACCTCAAAGGAGTAGCTGACGTTTTTGTCACATTTGGGAGGCTTTCCCTGCAAATACCTGCAAGTACCCAGAGTTGTAAAGCATGGAGTCCTAGGATTGCATTGACAAAACTCACCTTAAACCGAAGCCTCTGTCTTGTCAAGACAGTGAATGCTATGTCAACGGACACATAGACCTTGCAGAACATGAGTCTGCCTCAGCCCTTCCACACAGGGCCAATGCGTTCTGTGCCTGGGGCACCCTGTCCATGTCCTTTTCAGTATCCTGGCAAAAGTAGGCAGCTGTCACCAGAGCCTAGAGTACTCTGCCCCTTCCCGTTCCTTACTCACATTCCCCTCCGTTCATCTGAAATAAACATTGAGCCACTGCTTTTCTTCCCTGGATTTTGAATTCTTCCTTTCCTTTCTGATCTTAGGATTGGGGACAATCTGTACCCCAGGCTCTGACTGTTCTGCCAGCTCTCTGTCACTCTTGTGCTCTCTTAATCTCATTTCTGACTTGATTAACACCAAAATCTATCTACTCCTTGGGATATGGAAATTATGCAATGGATAAGCTCCATCTAAAATGTACAAAAGCCCTAAGATCCGAAATCAAGGCTAGCACCACAATCCAAAGGCCCTAGGAGCCTCCAGAAGCTCTTGAGGCCCTTAGAAACCTGTGTTTTTCCGTCTGTCTGACGCAGGACATTAAACAGGGGATTTCTCATTTCCCTCACTTCTAATGCCACCTCTATACAGGACTGTTATTTGACACTTAATGTTGGTTGTAGTTACATACAACTTTGGTTACGTTGAAGATTAGGTAGGATTCTGTGAGCTACCCAGGAAACCTAAAATCAGATCTAATATTGTTCAGGTGAACATGATTGCATTTCACAGCCCACCTGTGGACCAAGTAGTTCTTACTGTGCCACCTGAGTGAAGTTGGTACCGGGGCAGCAGGGATGATACCTTGAGGGTAAGAGCTCAACTGTCAAAGGCCCTATGTAAACCTGAAAGCTCTTTAAAAAAAGTCTGCATTTAAAGAAGCAAACGGAGAGGGAATGCAAGAACAGAGGGCAGTTTGCTGTTGAAAATGGCCAACTAGGGAAAGGTGCTCCACGGTGGAGTCACGCAGGCCACTGCGGCCGTGGTCCAGCGGTGGGGTCAGGCAGCCTCTCAAGCCGGCAGCGGCACTTGACTGCAGCATCTTCATAGTGCTGATTTTGCAGATATCCAGAAGCAAAGGGCTAGGGAGTAATGGAGGTTTGCACCAAGTTTCCAGAACAGGCAGTGCGTTCCTGGGATAGACTTCCTGCAAGGAGTCCCTGGGAGGCCGTAAAGTGAAGCAGAAGTTGCTGTGGAAACTCGAGTTTTCAGATGCCAGGTACATGGAATGTTCACGAAGGAAAGCTGTAGTCATCAGGTAGAGATGGCCCAAGAGAGACATGTATGTTAAAGGTAGCAAAGCTCTAGGTAGCCCAGGGCCACCAAAGCCTATCGGAGCCCAGCTGATGCCACCATGAGCCCTGGGTGGGAAACACACGAAGGCGGGCCTTGGTATTCACCATGGAAGCGGTTGGCAGTCCATGAGGAATGCTTGTTACAGAGTCCAGCTTGCCACACACACAGAAGAGCTGCCCTTCTTCTCTGGGCCTGTAGAAAAAAAGGTCACAGTGAAATTGCTTCCAGCTAGCGTGGCAGAGAGTAGGAAATGCCACGTTGTACTCTCTGTGGGGCACACCCACATTTTCTTCAGCTGAAAATGAGCATGAAAGAGTAGGAAGACACAAACCTGTGACAGTTCTAAGTTCACACCTTCGCTCTCCTGGCAGGTCCACTTTTGGCTGTGCTGGGCAGCCAAGATTGCTGTTTTGCAGCCGGTGGGAGCTTCAATATTTAAATGTTGGTTCTGTCAGCCAAGGAACTGCTGGTCTGAAGAACCTGTTTCCCCAGCACCCAGTAGGAAGCCCCATGGCCAAGGTGGGTGAGGATGGCACATCCTCACTGCTGGCTTGACATTGCATAGCAGATGAGGCACACACACAGGGTATTTTCTATACTTGGAGTCCCCCAGAGAGGCCACTTGGATGTCCTCCTCGAAGCTTATCTTTTTCCTAAGTAAGCCATCATACTTCTTTTTAAATTTTGGATTGAGAGCTAGTTTTGCTGGCGCCCTTTCCCAGGAGAAGTTGTTCAGTCCATGAATCTGAACCTGCTTGGTTGGTCAAGATCCTGAGACTGGAGAGGCCAGGAACATAGGAGGAAACCAAATACTATTTTTTAATGTTCTGCTAAAGGACCATAGTAATAAAATGACTCCTACTGCCATTCTACTATACTCCTAGATCAGTCCCTTGCTCAACCATCATCACAGAAGTCTCCCCCTGCAACAGATGGGAACAAATATAGAGAACCACAAGGAGGCTATATGTAGAGAGTGAGTCACCCCTTAAAGAGATGTCCCCATCAAATCCCTTTCTTTAGGGGCTAAGGAACTCTGCAAAGGAGGAAGTAGAAAGAGTATAAGAGCCAGAGGGGATGGAAGACACAAAGGAAACAAACCTTTTCAACACAGTAGGACTGATACTCATATAAATTCACAAGAGACTGGGGCAGCGTGCACAGGGCCTGCACGGGTGGTTCTGCACCAGATGGGGTAACCTTGGGAGAAGTAGAGACATCTGCCACCCCTAACCCAGACGCTATCTCCAGTTGATAACCACTTGAAAAGGAAAACTTAGTTTTCTCTAAGGGAGTCTCACTGAGGAAACAACCCAGTCTTAAGGGTATCTCTCATGCCCATCAGTAGAAGGCCAACATAAAATGAACTCAGTGGCATCTTTGGAGATTTTTCTTTGATAACCTTAAAAGTCTTTTGAGTATATGTTATGGTTTTCAGTTTTATGTTTTTAGGGGATTCCTATTGTGCAAATGTGTGTGTGTGTATGTCTACATCTATGTGTTCCTTGTACTTTTTATTTGACTCTATTCTTTTGTTTCGGTCCTGTTCTGGTTTGGCTTTGTTTTATCTTATATTAATTATTTAGATGCCTGGTTGTGGTCTGATGAGAGACAGAAAGGGTGTGGATTTGGATGGGAGGAGATATAGGGTCATGGAGGAGTTGGGGGATGAGAAACTGTAATCAGAGTATATTGTATGAAAAAAAATCAATTTCCAATAAATGGAAAGAAAAGAGAAAGCAAGTTTTGCATAATTTATTCAACAAGATTGAATAAATACACTTATTTAGTTTCCCTTATGAAACTTCTTTTCATACCATTATATGAACCACAAAAATAAAACAGGAAACTCAATGAACTTTATGGTAAAATTCTTACGGCAGATCTGAAAAACAAGTATACAGGCATTTCTTCTGATGAGACAGTCTTTGACATGAACTCGATTGCCTGCTCCTTTATCACTTCTCCCTAGTGGGGTGACTCAGGCAGCCCACAGAGGAAAAGGATTCAGGCAGTCCTGATGGGACCTGATAGGCTAGGGTCAGACAGTAGGGGAGGAGGACTTCCCCTATCAGTGGACTAGGGAAGAGAGATAGGGGAGGAAGAGGGAGGGAGAGTGGGACTGGGAGGAGATGAGGGAGGGGGCTACAGTTGGAATGCAAAGTGAATAAATTGTAAATAAGAAGAAAAAAAAAGAAAAAGAAGAAATTCATGAAGAAAGAAGCTATCATGTTAAATATTCCTGTCATGATAAAAAATGCAGAATAAGGATTTTTGAGAGGAATTTTAAAAATACCAACTCAGTATCAAAACAGTAGAACCTACATTCAGTTTATAGTGCCACTGAGCTCAAGACTTGCATAATAATAAAATAACATTCATAATTATTTCTATAGCATATCTGAGATATGTAAATAAACGGAGTTGACTGCTTCTCTCAAAATGCTGTTATACAGGGACTTCTTTTAAGCTTATTTTATGATTTTGTGTTTGCTGAGCAAAATAACACCCTTCAGTCCCCCTACCTAGGCCTTGACACATTAAATTCTACAACTAGCAATTTGAATCTTTATAAAATTACCCATTGAAAGCAGAATGTTCCAACTATTGGTTTTCAGAAATGAAGGGAAGTACCTTGAAACCAACCCAGGCCAGCATTTACATGTTAAAGCTCTCTGTCGCATCCCTTATTCCAATGTGTTTTTTACCAGTGTCCTCTCAGGGCTCAAGAGAAGTTGTATGCACGGCCGACTTCAGCAATTTTGTTTCTTTAATAAGTGTAGCAAATAGGGAACAAACACAAGATAAAAGGTTTTATCCTAGACCATTTCCTTCAGCATAATTTCAACTTTCAAATTATAGGAACATAAATGAATGTCCTACTTCTGTGTTAGAAGTACTTGACTACTTTGTGGGATGTTTTGTGCCAATTCTTTACTAAATTATCTTGGTCGCCGTTGCTAGGTAACACTACTGGCTTCCTGCAGCTGAAAAATGAAAGGGTTAGAGGGAGCAATTCGGCGTTATTAGCATTTGACTAATAAGTTTTTTTTTTTAACTGTATGTCTTAGCATTTCCCTCTCTCTAGGGACGGTCATTGTCTATGGGAATACACTCGATGCTTATACAACAGTCGAGACACTCCTACACATTGGCATGAAGGGGAGCTGCATCTACTTCGTTCATCCGCCAGCTGACTCGAACGTAACCTGTATCAACAACTATGTCATAGAGAGCGCCCTGGAAGACGCGCTCAGCGAAGCTGGAGTGACTGTGTATCGGGACGCGCTGTTGGCCCAGTGGAACGATGGCCAGAACCCGGATCCCATCTCCAGTGCCTGCTTCACCACTTCCACCAAGCCTTTCAGACTGGAGTGTTCAGTAAGTCCATCCCCAACCACACCGGCTGCCTACCTAGGACAGCGGTTCTCAACCTGTGGGTGGCGACCCCACAGGGGCAGCATATCAGATATCCCTGCATATCAGATACTTACATTACGGTTCACAACAGTAGCAAAACTACAGTTACAAAGTAGCAATGAAATAGTGTCCGGAGGGGAATCACCACAACATGAGCAACTGTATTAAAGGGTCATAGTGCTAAGAAGGTTGAGAACCACTGGCCTGGGGACAGTACTAACCTCCCAGGGACTAGGGACTCTGAAAGATTACAGCAGAGAATTTACGGCCACATATCTGGAGCCTGTTTTCAAAACTGTCTGGGTTGTCCCTCACCCAGAAGCAAGAAGCTACGACTAACACAGTGACTTAAAAATTTATTGTCACCATTGCCTCCACTCTGGGGGTTTGCCTGGCCCAAGTAGGCCGTTCCCACCGGAGATTTCTTGTATAGCCGAATTAAGACAGTACACAGAGCTGGAGTCATCTAGGAGATGCATTTATTTTTCTCTGGCTATTAATGCTGGGTCCACTTCAGCTGAGAGTTTAGCCCTTTCTTAAGCTTGGGCTTTTCCAAAATGTAGTGATAGTTCTAAGAGCAAATGGGTCGGGAGCTGGAGTGTCTGTCCCTTAGACCAGGCCTCAGCAGTCTGGGAACATCTCTGCTGGCTCACTGTTTTCCTCCAGGCAAGTCATTCTGCCCACTGCAAATCAAAAGAGAAGGAGTGGACCTCACTGAGCGGAGGCCACCCCCAAGGGTCCATTGCCAGCTGCTGGAAAGGGGCTGTCCCTACTCTGTTTTCTTATAACACACCCCATGGGCAACCCCAGACTTAAAGTCACAGCAGCCCTGCTAATGGGTAAGCAGGCCCAGGAAGCCTGAAAATGGCCTGACACAGAGTCCACCAACTAAGGAGCTAGGCTATGGCTGAGCCAGATGCTGACCCACCCAGGGCCCGTGCACAGCATAAGCGTGAGCCCCTCACTGGCTGAGGAACCTGGCAGGGACAGCAAGCAGGAGCTTGCATGTGCGCAGTGCCCTTTTCCTCTGTTCCCAAAGCCCGCCACTGGCCAGCCAGCTTTTGGTCATAGCTGCACTGGAGCAGATTTTCTGATCAAAAGCCTTGCCTGTAGCTCTCTGGGTCTGGGCTCCTTTCTACCATTACAGGACCTAAGAATCCAGGTCAAATAATGTCACCTTTTCATAGAGGGTGTGACCAGGGAACAATAAGGCCCAAGGGTCATTAGAAAACTTCTAATCTGCCATTTCCTGCATTTGTTTGAGTATTCACTCTACAGTATTTATGGAACACCCAGATAGGTTCCAGACTTTGTCTGGAACACTGTTCTATTACTGTGAAGAGACACTATGACCAAGGCCACTCTTACAAAAGAAAGCATTTAATTGGGGTCTTGCCTCTGGTTTCAGAGGTTTAGTCTGGCAGGCCAGCAAGAGCTGGAGCAGTAGCTGAGAGTTAAAACCTGCTCTGTAGGCCGAGAGAGAGACACTGGGCTTGGCAGGGACTTTTGAAAGCTCAGAGCCCACCCCCAGTGACACATTTCCACCAACAAGGCCTCACTTCCTACTCCTTTCAAATAGTGCCACTCCCCAGGGACTAAGCATCCAAATATGGAAACCTATGGGGACCATTCTAATTCACAGCACTGGACAACTATGTTGTCTCAGAAGGAATGGCCTCTGGAGACATGTCCAGAGCTCTGTTGACTTATGGTCTGCATCTTTCTTTGGCCAGCAGTTGGTGTGGGGGGGGGGTAGGAAAAGGCAGTGCTTAGCCCTCTTTCCCCTGCTGCCATCATTATCTGTCAGGGAGTCAGGCAGCTTTGGATGGGTGCGAACATGTCTCTCAACTGTGCCAATGCTGTTATGGGTCCCCAGGTTCTTCCCATTTCTCAGAGGCATATGTTGATGTTCTAACGCTCAGCACCAGCAAATGTGGCCTTATTTGGAGCAGGGTCTCGGTTGGTGTAACCAAGTGAAGACAAGGTTACCGTGGGCCTGTGTCCGGCTCTGAATTCCAAGTCCCCTTTACATTTCCACAAGCACTTTATTGAAAAGTTCTGAGTGCTCTTTCTTCTGATAACTTAGAATTCTCAGGCTTTCTAACTTTAGCCACTTCACATATGTTCTGTAGTGCAGCACTGTTTTTAGTTTGTGCTTTATTAGTAATTAATGATAGGAACATTGTCTCATGCACTCGTTGGACATGCGTGTATTCCTTTTATGAAGTGTCTGACCTGTTGTAAATGGATTAAATTTGGTTTTCTGATTGATTGTGGATACTATTCAATGTGCAATTCAGATAAACGTTATAATCTGAAACACTGCCAAATTTAGTTTCTAGTTCTGAGGGTTGATTTCTAAATGCATAAACATGCAATGCAAGCAATGTGCATGATGAATTCCTTCCTGGCATTTAGTCTTTTTATTCAAACCCTTGTTTTATTGTACTGAGCGTCCTCAGTGCACTGCTGGGGAACGGCTGGAAAGCAGGGGCCTTGCCTTGTTCTGCCTCTCAGAGAGAACTGCGGGTCTGCCGGTAAAATGAAGTTGCTGTGGGTTTCCATGGTGTCTTTTATCAGATGGAAGAAGTAACCATTCATTCTTAGTTTGCACAGAAGTTTCCTCAAGAATGGCTGCTGAACTTCATCAAATGAATTTCCAATAGCTTTCAAAGAGGTTGTATTTTTTTTCTCTCTCCAGTATTATAAATGTAATGGATTAGATTGATTGCTTTTCCAAATTTTTCAATCCGTCTGGAATAAATCCCAATTATTCATGGTTATCCATCTAAGTGTTGTGTAATTTTGTTAGTTGTGTTAGGAGCATTTTGAAGTGAAAGACGCTGGACTGTCACTGTGTCACCACTGTAGGGTGGAAGTTGGAGCCCTGCCAGCCTCCTGAAATAATTTAGGTGATGTTTGTTCCCTTTGCATTGTCTTAAAAGGCTGCTGTGAAGCTGACGTTACTTCTTTGAGTGTTGATAAAATTATTCAGTAAAACGATCAGTGGATGGAACATATAGGATAGGAAAGGGAACAAATTCAATTTCTCTACTAGATACTTGGATTTTCCGCTTCTTTCATGTCAATTTTAGGAGATTATATTATTTAAGTAATTTATTTGTTTGGTTTAAGTTGGTCGAAATTGGTGGCATTTGGCTGGGGAGATGGCTCAGTTGGTTGAATATTTGTCATATAAATATAAGGGTCTGTGTTTGGCTGTCCAGCACACATGTGAATGGCCGAGTGTCATGTTGCATGCCTGTAATCACAGTGCTGGGCACGTGGAGATAGGCAGATCCTTGGAAACCAATGACTAGAAAGTTTAGCCAGGTCGGCCAGCTCCAGATTCAGCAAGAGACCCTGACACTCACACAAAAATACATTGTTTCTTTCCTTTTGTCGGGGAGGTGTAGGGGAGTGGGGATTGGGGTTGAGGAATGGTTTCTTCTGTGTAGCTCTAGTTTGAAGTTGCTCTGGAGACCAGGGTGGCCTGGAACTCAGATCCTTCTGCCTCTGCCTCCCAAGTGCTGGGATTAAAGATGTGCACCACCGCTGCCCGGCTCCATTTATTTTCTTGATGATAGCCATTCTGACTAAGTGAGCTAGAATCTCAGAGCAGTTTTACTTTCCCTGATGGCCAAGGATGTTTGACATGTTTTCCAGTGCATGTTGGTCACTTCTATTTCTTCTCTTGAGAGCTGTCTATACAGGTTATTAGCACGTTCCTGTCATTCTTTCTGTACTGGGAACCTCCAAAGGTACATTTTAGCTTTTCAGTCTGCGGGCTAGCTGAGTCCCTTTGCCTTCCACCTCCACAACTCCCTAGATCATACCCGAGAAGTGACTGTCCATCTTCCACCCAGCTTCTGTGCTGCTCCCCACCACCACCACCAAGGAAGAGTGGGCCAAGTCTACATTATGGTTACCACTCTGCCTCCCATTTTGTTGTTGTGTTTCTGCCTTTCCCAGGTATATTTTCACTTCCTTTGTGGATTTCCAAGGCCCACCCTCATTTCATCTCCTTATAATAGAGTCTATTTTATGACGACGATGATGATTACTCTCTGCTTCACCAGCCATCTTATCTGGAAGTCTCCCACCTCATTTCTTCTTGACACTGACGAATTGCATTCACTCCCCATGCCTGTCTATGTCCCTAGTCTAAAATGGAGGCCTGTCAATTTTATTGATGTTTTTTCAAAGATAAAAATCAACACTTACTTCTCAATAAAGACAGCTCGTTTTCTCTTCCTGCGGTTTTGTTCTCAATGATTACTCTCTTCCTTCTATTTGTACTGGATCTACTTCATCCTTCTCTTTTCTGCTTTTGAAAGGTAGAATCTTAAGTCATTGACAATATTTTTTTAAACCCTAAGTTTTCCTTAATATGTTAGCTACCCCTCAAAAAATTTAATATATTGAATCTTTCCTAGCACTTTGGCCAAAATATTGTCTGCCTACTTTATGATTCTTCACTGACCCTGGATTATGTATCATATATACTGTATTTTTAATTGATTTTCAATTCAGTGCCATTGTTTACTATTATCCAATCATTTAAGAAGTATGGGGATGGATTTCATGTCTAAGAATACGTGGAATTTTGTCTATATCCTATGAATAAGTATTCAGTAGCTATTGGACATAATGTTTCTGTAAATAATAATTAGTTCTGTGTGGTTGATATTGCTGCTGGATTCTCTTTACTGATATTTACTGTATTTCACCAGTGGTTTGGAACTAAATAAAATAATTGCTAAGAGCAACATTATTATTATCTCATTATTTTAGGAGTTTCTATTTTTCTCTTTGATTATATCTAACTTTTTTTTTTTCTTTCTTTGCTCTGCTGTTAAGCCCATGAACAGTTATAACTTTGATATCTAACTTGTGGGTTGTGGCCTTATCATTTTGGAATATACTACTGTATTTCTTGATAGTATTCCTTATCCTCAGATCTACCTGGTTTATATTAATATGGCCATTTTATCCGTCATGTATTTAGTACTAGCATAGCATATTTTCTAATTTGCTTAATTTTAGCTTGCCAGTGTCTTTATATCTAAAGTATATTTTTGAAAGTATCACTAACAATACTATATAAGTATCTTATGACTGCCTAACAAATACAGCAGCCTAAAACAACATTCATTTATGGGCTCAGAGTTCACAATCAGATCCGAGAGGCCATCTTCAGTCTTAACCACATGACCCCTTTCTTTATAAGGTCTTGGAATGGAGACTTGCCTTCATGTCAGATTTAATCACACTTTGAATCTTCTGCACAAAAAGCCTGTCTGTTTTTAGACGCTCACTTAATTAGCTCACACTCACTGAATGTGATCTCTCTTAACGTCATGCCAAATAACTGTGCCTTCTCACAGTCACAGTCTGTCCGTACAGGGCTAGGTGAGAACCTCAGGAACTGTCTTAAAATTCTGCCTGTCACACGCTTTCTTATCCTTCCTGTCTGTGCATTTTAATCGAAGTAGTTAGACCATTCATACTTAATGCAATTACTAATGCAGTTACATTTAGGCCTGCCATTTTGTTTTCTGTCTGCTGTTCAATCCCAATCCCCATGTTTCCTGTACTTATTTTCTACCTTGTCTGCTTCCTCTTGAGTTATTATTATTTTTGAGCATTCTAATTCAAATGGATTTTAAGCTACCTCTTACTCTTACTCAGTTTTTTAGTGATTTATCTATGGATATTTAAGCAATGTTTTACCTCAGTGCAGTTAGTATTGTATCATTTTATAAAATATTTTTTTAAACTTGCAACAATACAGATCCCTCTTCCTATACACTAGACATCTACTTTATTACACCTATGCACATTGAATTAAAAAGAGACAATGCTAGAATTTTTATCTTAAACAAATATATGCATATATACTGTGTGTGAGGAGAGAGGGGGTTGTGGGAAGGGGAGAAAAAAAGAGTCTCACGTGGCCTAGTCTGGCCTCCATTTCTCTGGGTAGCTGAGAATGACCTTGAACTCCTGATCCTTCTACTTCCACATCCCCCGTGCAAGGATCGCAGGTGGGTACCTCTGTTTTTGGTGCATGCAGTGCTGAGGCTCAAGCCTAGGACTCTTTCCGTTTTAGGCAAGCACTCTGCCAACTGAGTTCTACTCCCCAGCTTCGTTCGTTTTTTAAAGAACTAAGAAACCTATTTTATGTATATGCAGACATTCTTCTCACTTTTTTGACTCTTTCTTTGTTTCTGAAAATACAGGTCTTTCTTCACCTAAGAAGCTTCTGTCAGTATTTTTTATATGGTCAGTCTGCTAGAAATAAATATTGTATTGGAAAAACGTGTTTATTTTTACTGGGTATAGAATTTGGGGCTAACAGGTATCCCTCTAACTTTGAATCTGTTTCTCACCGTGTTTTGATATTGCTGATTTTGATTTAAAAGTTTGTCAGCATTGAAGGCATTGCTCCCTTTTGGATGTAATGCATCATTTCCTTTGTGGGGCTTCGGGATTTTCTCTTTGTCATTCATGTCCAGAAGTTTGATGCAGTCCATAGTTTATTGTGCTTTAACTTTTTATCTTACCTGTGGATCAGTTAGTTTCTTGAGTCATAAATCCATGGCTTTCACTAAATTTTAGCAGATTCTTGACCATTATTTGGCCCCATGCTTCCTTTATACTTTAATTATATCCCAATTATATATAGTGTTTCCTGAGGCTTTAAAGCTGTGCTTGTTTTAATAGAATTTTCTCTTTGTTCTTATAACCAGAAAAACCTTTTGATATTACTTCAAAATTTGCCAACTTTTTTCTTTTTCAGAAGTTTTTTTTTTCTTTTATTTTATCATAAAATGCCTATAACTCACCCTCTTTTAAAAGCTTCCAAATATGAAAATTAGTCCCATGCTGGTTATTGCTTCAGCTTTATACACAATCTCCCTGACTTTAAATAGTAGTTAGAACGTTAGGAGAAGTCCTTCTATTGTGATGAGGGTTTATAGAGAGTTTTGGTGGAAGATCCAGGCTCGGGGCATTGCTCCACCCCTCCAGAAGCAGAACCGCCTTGAAGCTGGTGAAGAAAACAAACAATGGGCGTGGTGATAGGAGACCTGACCAGGGAGGTGCAGTCCGGGGGACCCCTGCGCTCAGTGGCTGGCTGGCCTAGACTATTCAGTGAGTTCCAGGGCAGCCAGGGACCCTGTTTCGGAAGGTGTAGGTGACCTCCACACACATGCATAGGCATTTGCACACACATACACACAAATGCATACAGAATCTCGGGGAACAGAAATTGGCATTTCCTCGTGTGTCAGAGGTTTTTCTAGTCCTGCCTCGTGGCCACGCCTGTAGGATTCCTGACAGGTATGCAGCCTCCAGCCAGTCTAGATCCCAGCTGTGGCAGCTCCTGAGGAAGTCCTCCCTGTTCACTGATGTCCCTCTGCCCCTAGTACTCTCCATATTTCTTTCTTTTTTTTTTTTTTTTTTTCACCAAGAGATTCCTGTGGCCTTAACAGGTAGCTAGCATGGAATTATCTTCCTGAGCATGTGAACGAGTGAGGTTTATCAAATCATTGTGAGATTTGCCGATTCACATCTCGGCGTGGAAATTCCACTGTGAAAATCTAACTGCAGCGGAAGTTGTGAGCGCGCCAGCACAGCATGGGTACTGGCGCCACAGCGGTGCTAAAAAAAACAAATTAAAATATTGCTGAATTGTGATCCTTAACAAAAACTAACAAAATGTAGAAAAAGAAACTAACAGGCAGAACTTTGTAGAAATTTTTGAAGAATGTCGAAGTTCAAGAAGTAAAGGACACTATTCTTACATGTGATTTGAATTTGTCAAATATCTTCCTCTGTTTTTACATAGGTAGAAATCTACTCTACCTAAGTGGGGAAAAGGAAGGAGAGAAGGAGAGGTGTGTAGGAAGACAAAGGTTCAGAGTCAGGGCGAGACTCAGAGAAATGAATGTTCCCATGGCTACTAGTCATGCTTCTGTCTGCTGTTCCAGGATAGGAAGCAGCAGGGCAAGAGCTAGCCTCACAGATATGGCGGACAGCTCTCCAGGACATGCTTCAATGACGTTGCTGGGCTTGCAGCCTGACAAGATGGCTTGGAGAGGAGAGGCGATTGCTTCCGAGGCTAATAACCTACGTTTGATTCCTAGAACTCACATTATGGGCAGAGGAAACTGGCTCCCACAAGTTGTCCTCTGACCTTTATTACCAGCCATAGAATCCACACACCCAAGCATGCATACACATACACGAGATAAATAGATAAAGCAGATTCTCAAGATTGCTGCATTTTGAAACTCTCGGTCACTCAGAGCTGTGATAAACTTTCGGGAGACATTTTCCGCACTTTGAAGACTGTTCACACTCTGGCACAGGTGAAATCAAGAACAATAGCTGGGAGAACACCCAGCTTCATGACTCGCCAGCAAGGAACACAGAAAGGGGCAGCCCAGTGCCTTACTTTTCCACTACTGTGAAAATGCACCGTGACTAAGGCAGTTTATACAGGGAAATATTTGATTGGGGCTTGTTAACAGTTTCAGAGGATTAGGGTCCATGATCCTCAGGCAGGGAACACAGCAGCAGGCAGGTAGGCATGGTTCTGGAGCAGGAGGTGAGAGCTGGCATCTCATCTACAGGCAGGAGGCAAAGAGAGAGCAATAACCTGGAATATCGAGGACTTTTCAAATCCTACCCCAAGTGACACAACACCTTCAGCAAAGCTGCACCTTCTAAGCCTTTCCGTAGTTCTATCAAACCTATGAGCCTGTGGAGGCCATTCTTATTCAAACCACACACCCATTAATGGTGTGGTGTTTTTTGTTTTTGTTTTTTCACTTTGCAGGCATTCTTCAGCTTCTACAAGAAGAATGTGGATTACGAAACATTTAAAGCTTTGAATGACGCATGCCTGGTCTATGATGGCCGGCTTGTGATTGATACTGCCTTCCACACCAATGATATAGCCATTAGAGCTGCTGGCTCGCTCACCAAATTCTCCAATCGCTACTATTCAAATGATTGGACTCACATCAATTTCAGTTCCAAAGAAATTGGCTTCCAGCTGGCAGCAGCCATGCTTAGCCTCTTTGACCCCACCCTTGAGCCTGTGACTGAACCGCCAGCTGACCTAGACCGGCTCATCCCCATGTACAAGGGAGCCAAGATCCAAGGTATGTGGAGGCTCCTTTTTTTTCTCATTTGGTGAGGCCAGTGGTCAGCGAAGCCAGTCACGCTACTCTTAAACATAGCTCGTGGTCTCTAGTGGGCTCTCATAGGGGTAAAGTAGGAGCCCATCTTTTTTCTTTGGCTTTTACTGTGAAGCTTGCAATGTCATTATTGTGGGCCTTTGCATCCTGGGCATTTATTGTGGCCTTCCTCCTAACAGTCCCCATTAATAGCATCAGTATCCTGCCTAGACATCTCAGGGCTAATGAACAGTGGTTTGCCCTGACATCCTACCGTACATTTCCATCCTCACCATAAGTTCAGAGATGAAGAGATGCTTCCAGGCAGCCATGCCTTAGCCTTCTCTCTTTAAATACTTCTGTTTTTTCACTTCCTGTGTATGGTTGTGCTGCCTGCGTGTCTATCTCTGCATCGCATCTATGTGATGCTGGAAGAGGGCATGGGATGCCCTGAAACTGGAGTTATATCATTTCCATGTGGCAAGGGGAACCCGTGTGTAGGTTAATGCAACTGTGAACTCTATAAGTTCAAAAATATCTTCGGTTCCTTGCTGGTTTGGATATGTTCAGTGGCTACAGCCAACCTTTTAAGATTCCTCTGTGTAGCTTTAAGCCTGTGCAGCAGGAGCTCAGATCTCTTTGGGGGCTGTCTGTCGATCCTGTGTCCAGCTCTACTGTTTGGTTTGTGCACATCTACTGATCCTGCCATCATACTGCCAGAGTGGCGCACATTGCCCCTTCACAATGACACCCTTCTGATACTTTTAGGACTTGCTTATCTTTGGTGGCCTGGGTGGCTCCGTGGGTTTTCTAAGGTGAATGTAAGGATGTGAACCTCTTAGTCCGCCTGATTTCATAGGGTGAACCATTTTCGCAGGTCACCTCAGGCTGCCCACAGGAAGGGGAAGTTTTATTATGTTGAGAGAAAAAGAGACAGAGAAAAGAGATATTTTAAATGCTGTGGGTTTTCCCACATATTTACGGGTTTTGGTGTTCACTTTCGGGAGGTTCACAAACTAGCCTGCAAAGCATTCATATATAAGCCCTGAAGGCATTGATAAACTCGTTCTAGCAAATGGAATACCAGGGCAAGGAGAACAAGGCCTACGTTCCACTCTGGCCTTCCCCTTCCCTCCTTGCTACAAGGAGGTTCTGCTCTGCTTCTGCTCTGGATGGAGCCTTGGGGAATGACTTCAGGCAGGTGAGAGAACAGAGGGCCTCAAAGAAGAGTGCTTGGTCAGGCTCAAGATTAGCTACAAAATATTAAGGACTTCATAATAATAGTTTTCTAAAGCCCCGGTGAGGAACTTTGTTAATTTTCCACATAAGATGCATTTTTAATATTCTGATTCTTTGGAGGAGTGTGTTACATGGGAGCACCGTGGCAGCATTCTGTAGCTTTTGGTCTAGTCAGGTAGCAGTGGGTTAGGGTGTCAGGAGGGGTGGGAAATCGCAGGGCACATCTTTCCACTGATGGCTATATTGTAGGGTATTGATTTGATTAAACGAAGTTCAGCCACTCCAGGGCCTTACTTGCTAACTGGGTGTACTGTAGCTGGGGTTTCAGGAGCAGGCCATTATTGGCATCCCTGTTTGCTCTTTGATGGAATATAAACTGTTTGCTACCAGTTCATTAATGATGTGGATACCTGCCATTTCCTCTAGGAGGGATTCTCCCTGGGTCTTATCATTATCTGCACATTGCCAAACCCGCCATCCCAAGTCCCTTGGATGTACAAAGGGCACAGCCTAACTTTGTAAGTATTGATCTTGAGATTTACTTTGCTTCTGGTTGTAATGCTTGGTTCTAAGGGAAGGTAAATTTTTCCACTCAAAGTTGTTGGGTCTCACATCATACACCCCTGTGCATGTCGACATTCCAAGTGGCCACCAAGTGTCTCTGCTCCTCACACTGTCATGTGGCATACTCCCACAGGGAGCAGAACTGACTGGTGCAGCCTGCAGGATATTGTGGAGGTGATGGTCCAAATCTATATCCATATCTCAAAGACACTGAAACTTCCACCTTGTCCCTTTCCAGATAATCACCTGCAATAGTGGAAGGTTTCCTGGGCAACCTTTTGGTGAGGTCTGCATGGTAAAGAGTGGAGGATGCCTATACCAGCTGTATAAGTGACCTGCCTTAGAACTGGTTTCATTCAAGCCTTCAGATTATGCTCCAGCCAAGATCTTGACTGAAAGCCTAGGAAACCTTGGGTACCCAGCTAAGCCATCCCCAATCTCTAACTCCCAAAGATCACGAGATAACTCAGTTTATTGCTGCCTTAATATGTTTTCTTAATAGGCTTTTAGAGAGTACTTTTGATTTCATAGCAAACTCAAGCAAAAGTCACAGTGATTTCCTGGATTCTCCTTGTTCCCCCTCTCTCATGACTTATGCTCACCCACCCCAACTGGCCACATATCCCACCAAAGTGGCACAGTCATCAGAACTGGCGGGCCTTCATCGCACATGATTAGCAGCAGACCCCGTAGCTTTCCCTAGGAGTCTCTCTGGACTCTGTGCATTCTAGAGGGTCTTGACAGTGCATCTACCATTACAGTGCCATGCAAAATCCTACTAAAACCTTTCTGCCATGTGAAGGGCTAGCAACCTCTAACGTTTATTGTCTCCAAAGTTGTCCTATGTATCAGTTACACTCCTTACTGCTGTGGCCAAACACCTGACAGTAGGCGGCCTGTGGGAGGAAGGGCTTGCCTGGGCCCACAGTTTGAGGACAGTCCTCACGGCAGGGAAGGCAGGAGCTTGAGGCGGTAGTCCCATCACTGTCACACTGAGAAAGCAGAGAGACAGAGGCATCCATGCTCTGCCAACTTTCTCCTTTGTATACAGCACAGGAGCCAGCCATGGAACACTGCCTCACAGGTGTGCCCAGGGCTTTCTGTGCTCACCCTAAATCCCACCAAACTGGCAGTCAGGGTTAACCACCACATTGTGTAACCAGAACCATAGCATGTGGCCTTTTAGATTGGCTTATTTTGCCTAGTAATACACATTTAAGTCTCTTCCATGTCTTTTCATGCTATACAGACCATTTCTTGAAGTGCTGAGTGACAGTCCATTATCTTGGTATACCAGTTTATTTACCCTTTACTGTTGAAGCTCAGTAAGCCCTTGTTAGGTTTGGCATACCATCAGGCTACAGGCATCTGCCTTTGTGACACTGGAACAAGCAGATTCTTTGGGCCAGGAATGGCCACCAGGCCCAACTGTTTTCTTCCCCTCCGTGAATTACACAGAAGGCCATCTTGGAAAAGTGGGAGCTGTGGGTGGGACTTCTCCTTGGGCTGGCCAATGAGACATCCCCTCAAGTAAGCACCTCTGACAGATGGTCCTAGGCTGGCCTCTTGTCAAATGGTGACTCCCTCTCTCGTGTGCGACACTCGATTTTTTCCTCCCTGAGGCAGAACCTCTGAGTATTTTTGAGGATCAATGACATGGCCAACTTAACATAAAGATATTTCTCAGATCTTTATGGAAGGAGGCCTAGCCATGTGGCAGGTTCTGATCAATCAGATATAAATAAAATATACTTGAAAAATCCTTAAAAGCTTAGGAATGTCATAAGTCATTGCCCCCCCCCCATCCCCATCATTCATGAACCTGAGTCCCAGCTCTTCCATTTGCTTCTCATGGGCTTTGAATAAGCCATTCCCCTTGTCTTTGCTCCTGGAGTTGTTACTGATCCTTTATACAGAGCAAACCATTTACACTGCTTGCAGAAGAAGACGTGGCTGGTTAATGTGCCGATTCTCGTAAGTCCTGCGTTCATAAAATATCAGTACTTCTTTCTTTGGGAGAAAAGACAGATATTATATTTTCCTTTCACCTTTTTTAGGACCCCACCACCACCACTTTGGGGAGAGGCGCTGTTTGCTGTTTTTATACAGTGTCTTACCGTTTGGCTCAAGGGTTGCCCTCAAGTTTGCACGTTCCCTCCCTCCCCAGCCTTCCCCTGAGACGGAGACTGCAGTCCAACCGTGGTGCCCAGCCTCCGCTTTCTTTCAGGTGTCCAGTACACAGAGTGCTCAGAAGCTGTCTTCCCGCTCACCATACATAAGCCACATGCTCCCAATCTGTACAGGAGCCGGGAGCCTTGGGCTCGGTTCAAGACAAACCAGAGTCTTCCCGGACACTATAGGTTCATCAGTGCCTGCCGTGGCTGAGTGCTCTGCATGGACTCAGAGCAGACAGAAGGGGTTCGAGATGAGGGGAATTTCAGTAACAGTTCAACTTAAACAGATTATTTGGCTGGTGCTGTGACAGTATTTGAACAGCACCCCTGGCTTTGATTAACCATTTTGCCAGGTGGGCTTCCTTCTTAATTAGTACAGAAGATCTAAGCAGATTTTTTTTCCATTTTATTTTCTAAGGAAAAAAAAAAAAAACAAAACATAGGATCGCTCCATGGCAATCTTTTGGAGTTGGAATTAATTTATGCAAAATTGTTGCCAAAATGGCCAGGCAGTCACCTAAATTCAGCCAGATGATGGAGAAGGCAGCCCACTGAACAGGGTCCCCCAGGGAAACAATGACTGTTCTTACAGTGGGTATGTCCAGAGCAGTGTAGACTTTCCAGTTATCAGCAAGTGGACCACTTAAGCGAGAAGTCACTTCAGCAATCCATGAGCTCTTCATACAATAATCTGGCAAAGAGAAGACCCTGAGATGCCTCCAGGGTGTGCTGATGTACAGACTCTGGCCCACATGCTTGGTTGGCTTGTCTGCCACAGAGTAAAGAAATTTGTCACAACAAATTCTGCCTTGGATACTATTAAATTTCAAAATCATGTGTTTGTCACGAGAGCTGGGGACTTAGTTTCTCCAACACCGAGACTGATTAATCCCATGCCTTCCACTTGGCATGAATTCTGAAGCGATTTTCTAACCTATATAATCAGGGAGGAAAAGATTTTGGGGCAGCAAGTGCCAGTAGGAATGACCAGCACTGCAAAGGCAGTCTGTGGGCTGAGAAGCCGATTTGTATGTGAGTGCCCTTTAATACTGATATGCAATATTTCGATGCACTCCAAACTTCCAGACTCCTCCACCCCGACCCCAGCCATGCTAAGACAGTGCCAAAGCTCATTAAGATTGACAAAACTTGCCTTCTGTAGCTAGGATAAGCCATCAGCAAGCCCTCCGCCCTTCCCTTGAGTGCTGTTCACTGGACAGTCTTTTCAAGCCCTCATCGCTGCGTTTAGGACTGTGCTGGGATCAACCGAGATTCGGTTGTTAAAAATATAAAGCAAAACATGTCGTTGGAACAGCGTTAAGACCTCATGCAACAGGCCGTCATGGATGGTGTGTCCTGCGCAGACTCTGGCTGGGCCCTGGCCAGCAAGCTACCAGGTTTCCTCGGCAGTCTGTCACATCTCCACTGCTGCAGTAACTAACCGTGGCCCCAGCCTCGAAGTGCTCAGTCTGGGGTGTAGAGCCCAGGACAGCTCCCGAACACAAAGCAAACCTCAATAACTGAATGTGGTGAATGAGCAATGTTCCCTGCAAAGACGCCTTTTCATCGCCCACATGGGTGGCTCACAGAGTTAGTCTGTCTGTGGTGTCTGGGTTCCCTTTCCTCGGTCACTCAGCATAAAGAAACAGTAAGGAGAAGGCAGAATCCCAGGCCTTGTGGGATTGCTGTCCCTGCCCCCAGTGATTCCGGAGGAAAGCTGGCAGCCCGCATCACACCAGAGATACTGTGGGAGCGGGTGGGGCTGTCTGGGACTCCCCCAAAAGCTTTGCTGGAAGTATTGCCAGCACTTCACTGGCACTGCTTCTACTGAGAAAGCATGGCTTCTCGCTCAGCGCTCACTGACTTGTGCTTTCCCAGCTTCCTTCCCAAGCTGTCCCTTCCTACCCAGGGGTGGGGAGGCGAACCGTGAAAGTGCCCGTGACAAGCTCAGATGGTCTGTGCCTTATCTGGGAGATGCACACCTCGGAGACCACTGTCCGCCTACCCACGTGCTCCGGTTCTGAATGGCGCTGAGTATTCCGGGCTGTCCAAGTAAAGACGTCACATGCCCACACCCAAGGCAGAGGGTCCGAGAGTCAGGATTCAAGGCAATACTCTGGAATGCAAGATCCCCATCAGCTGCCAGTGGGACTAGAGAATCGGCGTGTCGAGTCACTGAGCAGAGACACCCTTCGGCAGAGTCCCACCTGGCTCTGTCTGGAGTCTTTACTGGCACCTGGGTAAAAATGCTGGCCCTTGTGGTACTTGCTTACTATAATCCCAGCGTCAGAGCCTGAGACAGGAGAATCCCCAGGGATTGCTGGCCAGCCAGCCCAGCCCAGTCTGAAAGCTCCAAGTCAATGAGAGACCCTGCTTCAATAAAAAGGCCTAAGAGAGCCAGGCGAGGTGCCACTAGCCTGTAATCCCAGCACTTGGGAGGCAGATCTCTGTAAATTCAAAGCCAGGCTGGTCTACAAAGTGAGTCCAGGACAGTAAAGGCTACACAGAAAAACCCTGTCTTGAAAACAAAACAAAACAAAACAAAAAACAAAAACAAAAACGCCTAAGTGGCTCCTGAAGACTATATGAAGTTGACCTTTATTTTGCCTCCAAATGCACCTACACACACCCACCCACATACACACACACATTAATCTTAATGATGGTACCAAGAACACAGAATGTCACTGCTCCTTAATGTAATCCATTTTCAAAATAGAAAATGTGCTGTGGACATAGTTTCTGCAAATGAGCGTATTTGCGCAGATGGACCGCCAGCCTCCTCCTCGAAGCATCAATGCCCAGCTTCTTCCGGTGCTCTTGCTGCTGTCATCCCCTCCCCCAAATATCCAGTCCGTTGCAGCTATCGTTGGCCTAGATGAGACTGTCCTCCTCGGGGCTCAGCGTGCGATCCCACGATGCCCACCAGTTGCCTCAGTTTAGCTAAGAGGTTAAACCCTGGGGCTCAGTCCGTCTCCTGCTGCTGTAATAAAATGCCGGGAGCAAAGCATCTCAAGAGAGAACGGCTTTATTTGGGCTCTGAGTCAGGAAGCACAGAACAGTGAATGCTCTTCTTTGGCTCACTCTCTCCTTTTTATGCAGTCCAGCACCCAAGGGGGATGGTGCCCCTCCTTTAGAATGGACCTTCGCACCTCAATTCACATAACCAAGATGATTCTTCAGGGGATGCTCGGAGGTGAAGCTTGCATAAATGATCCCTGGAGGCTTTCTCCTAGGTCAGGGATTCTACCTGTGTGTTTCGACCCCCGAAGACCATCGAGAAACAGATATTTATGTTATGATTTATAAAAGTAGCAAAATTACAGTTAAGAAGCAGCAATTAAAACAATGCTGGGAGAGAGGGGAGCTCTCCACAGCATGAGGAGCTGTATTAGAGGACCTCAGTATAAGGAAGGCTAAGAACTACTGTCCTAGGTGGTTCCAGATCCCGGTACCCTGACAGTCACACTATCCATCACACCATGTGTCCCTGTCTAGACAAAGCTCTCAGGGGGAGTCAGGGCTAAGCAAATGTTTGGGATTAAGACGAAGTGAATTTGCCGCAGCTCTCTAAATGCCACCTTCAAGTTCAGAGTGAAAGCTTAACTCTAGATGCACTCAGAAAAGAGCTATCAGTGTTAGAGTGAACTAAATTCAGAGTCTTGGGGCAAAGTAAAAGTTCACCACCAATGCAGCCTGCGTTTGTCCACTGAGGTCAGCAGGAATGGAGCTCCCACGGAGCGCCGGTAGCCACCAGGGCTGCAATAGAAAGTATAGTCACGATGTGGGGTCACAGAAGCACCCTTCCTTGCCATCCGGTTCATGTGGCAGTCAGTTTTAATCAGTTTTAAGTGGTAAAATGCACACCTTGAACAACTTACAGACTGAAAGGTCATCCACAGCCTGTATGGGTGTATACTGTGGCCCTTCCTCATGGGCACTGAGATAATCCAAGGCCTAACTGTCGGTGCTCACTGTCCTTCCCAAGCCCAGCCACCAGGTTTCACCTTCTATTTGTCTCTTTTAAATATTCTTTAAAACAACTAGAATTCCTCATGACCACTTTGACCAGGATGTTTTCAAAATGGTTCTGGGAAATTTGACACTTCAAACACATCATACATAGAAAAAGGATCCAAGTTCCTTTACTGGGTAAGATATTGAGCTATAGAGAATTGGTTATCAACTAATTTTAAGGCATAGAACAATGTAATGGCAATTTAAATTGTGGTGAGGAACATTTTGTCATGAAAATGTCATTTCTGACACATCATTGTCTTCCCTTGTGTGTCTGATCAATGGCTATTATTCAAAACAAGATAGAATTTGTCTATTATATTTGAAAAATTAATTGCTAAACTGAAGTTCCCAAAGTCTAGGGATGCTTTGGACACTGTCTTCCTGATTCGTTTCTCATTTGAACCCAGGGATCAGAAATAATAACAGGCAACGCGAAAGAGGGGACATACTTCCGGCTGTACCTCAGCAAATATAGGTTGGTGGAGTCCATCACGTGCTTTTCAAAGGAGCCTTTCCCATCCTCCAACTATGTCCGCTTATTTGGACAGCATGAGCAAATCCTCAACAACCTGTTCACTCGTTACGATGACAAGCTGATCCCAGATCTCTACAGGCAAGTGGCCCATTGGTTTTGACTGTGGAAACCCATGGTTGTGTGTGGACACACATGGAAGGGGTGTGTGTGTGTTGTGGTGCACCGGAGAGAGAGATGGGAATTGCTGAGAGAGGCTGGGGTGGTCGAGATGGCCTTGTTACAGAATAATGAATGTAGGAGCGCGAGCATTGGCTGGAGAGCAAAGGTTCACATGAGGAAGTACATGAACTTAGATGTGTCCAGGCCAGGGCCTGGACCAGGACCTCAGAAGCAATAGTACATGATGTTGATGTCATGAAAGTGTAAAGTGAGATGATATTCAAGTCCCTTTCCACTCAGGCTGCTAAGGGCAGCAGTCTGAACCCAAGAGAAAGGCTAACAGTCAGCATGTGGAAGACTCTGGCCCCAGGAAGTCTTCAGTCACTAGACAGGATGCTTGTGATCCTAACCCTTTTCCTCCCAGAGTGTGGAGGAATGTGTACCAAAGATGTTGGAAAATTTCTCCCCTGGCAATCGACAATATGGTCTTTTTCAGTTCTTTCACAAGGCCACAATTACCCTGGTACCTAAGCCACACAAAGACCCGTCAAAGAAAGAAAATTACAGATCAATATCCCTTATAAATATAGATTAAAATTTCTCGGTAAAAGACTTACAAACTAAATCCAAGAACACATCAAATAGATCATCCACCATGATCAAGTAGGCTTCATCCCAGAGATGCAGGGATGGTTCAACATATGTAAAATGACAAACGTAATCCACTACATAAATAGACTGAGAGATGAAAACCACATGATCATCTCAATTAGCTTTATTTGCATTTAAGATTTATATATAAATGATCCTAAAAGCTCCAGCAGGAAACTACTACAGCTGATAAACACTTTTAGCAAGGTAGCTGTACACAAAATTAATACACAAAAATCAGTAGCCTTCCTTTATACAAATGACATACTGAGATAAAAATCAAGGAAACAATACCTTTCACAGTAGACATATATATTTTTTTTGAGGCTCAAATTCATACACACGTAATGTAGATATCTCTAACCAAGCAAGTGAAAGACTTATGAATGAAAACGTTATAGTAAGTTTTATCATAGACATTCCCACTGAACTTCGTGGGACATGCACGAACTCTTAGATCAGTCTGGTGAAAATTATCATCTTTGACATTGACCCCAATATCACAGGAGCGCATAAGTCTCACATTATTTAGGATGCCTTCAGGAAGGCACACTACAGTGTAAAGCCACGTCTGGATGCAGCTGCTGATTAACAAGGTTGGGAGAGCTACTCTCTGTCCATAAAACAAGCTAGTGTCGGAGGCAGTACCTGACAAAGTCTGTAAAGCAGGATTTGAGTGTCCTTGATATTGTTATAACCTTTCTTTCCTCCTAAAAATTTTAAATTACAGAGTGCCTCAACAAAAGCAAAACAGGTATGTAAAACATTACTGTATGCTTGAAGGGGAAATAACACTGGAAACCCATGTGTCTGCCACCTACGCTGAAGAATAATTCCTGACCACTGGGCATTGAGAGCCCCTCTCTGGCCAATACACAGGCTATCATTTGGAAGGCAGCCATCATTTTAAAGTTAGAGTTAGTCGTTCTGTTTCCTGTGAAACTTTTCTATATAGGAACAAACACTGTCTTTGTCACAAGTTCTCAACTCTATTCTTAAGATGAGAAAGCAGCTTCAGGATAACGTAACAAATGGACCCAATGATTCATCATATTCCAAAGCAGGAATTGGCTGGATTTGCTCCAATGAGTTGTGTTTTACCAACTGTTATTTCATATATACACGTGTGTGTTTACGTATATATGTGTGTGTGTGTGTGTTTATATATATATGATTTCCTAAATAATATTTATTTGTTTTGCCTGCTTTTGAGTTGAATCTGTGGTTTGCTACAGAAAGTCAATGTTCTGTTTATTCTGTAAGACAAGTGTCTACCCTGAGGGGCACAGCTGGAGCTCATTTGCCCCCCCCTTACCCCGAGGTGTAGTCCTCCATTGTTTACCTGTGTCGTTCCTGGATTTTCCTGCTGGTTGTTGTCTTAAATTCCTTGTGCCGTTACAAACAGTTCTGTGGCCACTAAGAACATACCTCATGTGTTGAATTTCTCTACCTCTCCAAGCCCTGAAGCTGCTCAGTCCTGGCGACCTGTACTTCAACATTCCCAAAGTAGTCCTGTCTGTCTACACATCCTTGTGTGAGAGTTCCTGAATCTCCATCATACACTGGTCAGACTTTAAGATTAGACCAGTCTGGTTTTGTGCAAAACTATCTTCTGGCTTTTCTTTACCCTTCTCTGATGACAAATGCGCTGAGCGCCTCTTCATTTGTGGTAGTACCCTGTGACCGCACAGTTCTCTCCTTCTCCATAATGCCCAAAAGAGCTGATACACTCTGGGTGTAAACTTGTGTTGCTCACATATTTTGAATGTTTCTTCTACTGCTTTGAAACTGCTATTTTCTATGTAGTGGAACTTAATATATATTCTTAATTTAGTGTAATATTTTTACTTTCTTCAAGAATATCTTGGGTGTTTTGTCCCTTTACTCTTCCAAAAGTTTTATAATAAACCCATCATGTTTCATGAAAATCTCCATTGGATTTGATGGACAGAGCATTAAATACTTGCTTAATTAGGTAAAAATCGACCTTTCTGATACTGACTAGAGCATAGTGTAAGCATCAATTTATTTAGACCATTTTTTATGGTTTCAATAAAGTTTTATAATTGTCTTCATAAAGGGCTTGCCAGTTTTTGTCTGACATGATCTCAACATATTGTATAATTTTATGGCTGCTATAAACATCATTTTTATTGGTCCAGTGAGATAGCTTGGTAAGTAAAGCACTTGCTCTGGTGACCTAAGTTCAATCCAGGGAAACTGCATAAGGGAAGGAGAGAATCAGCGCCATGAAGTTGCCCTCTGACCTCCACACATGCATTGTCACACTCACAAACCTGCTTGTGCATGCTCGTATGCTCATATGCTCGTGAGTTCTCTCTTTTATAATAATTAATTAATTGATTTAAAAGCATGACTGTTGTTCATTGTTGCTGGTATAAACGGATGCCCTAAATTTTTGATCATTCCGTGTCCTGCAAATTTTCTGAAGTCCTTCATTAATTTAAAAAATTCACCTATCAAATTTTTTTAGATTTTCCATATAGATAAAACCAAAATAATTCCAATTATTTTCTTAGCCAATCTTTGTGACTTCTCTTTGTTTGTCTTGTCCTACTATACATGCTAAGGTATGTAGCATAAATTACTGAATAGTTAGGCCTGGCACCCACGCCTCATCCCTAACCTTACAGGTGATGTGTTCAGTATTAAATGTGTAACATTTGCCATATTATTTGTATCCTTTATGGGGCAAAGGATCTTTTTGAAGATTGTGTTTCTAAGCTGTGTGTGTGTGTGTGTGTGTGTGTGTGTGTGTGTGTGTGTGTGTGTGTCTTCAAGTGTTCACTCACTGCAGATTGAACCCTGGGTCTTGTGCTCTTGTGCATACCAAGTACATCCTCTATCCAAACTCAACATTTTAAAATTAGGGATAGATACTTGCTTTTTCTTCCAAAAATAGTGCATAATTTTAGAAAAGTTTTATGTATCAGGAAAGTTTCCTAATGTTTTCAAAGATAAACCATCTTATTATAAAGTATCCAGTTCTTTAATCATAGGCTTTCCCTTCTTCAAACATATGTAGACTTCACTGACGTGTTGACTTCAATTCCTTTGGGTAAATAGCCGGGGGGGGGGGTGGCTACTACCTGAGCCATAGTGTAGAAAAACCTCCATGCCGGCTTCCTTTATCCAGATAAGTTCACGTGGCTACCCGTGGTGTGGGTTCTCTTCTGTAACGTTGGCAGTGTCTGTTGTCTTAAGGAATGCAGTTCTGACTTGGGTGAGATGAAGTCCCCATGTCGTCTTGATTTGCATTTTTCTGATGGCTACTGTGGTAGAACATTTTGTCATAAGGTTATTAGCCATTTGTGTTACACCTATGGAAAACTATTTGCTAATTTCATTAACATTTATTGCTTGAGTTGCTTCATTGTTGTTTAGGCTTTCTAGGTCTTTGTCTACTCTAGTTATTGATCCTCAGTTGGATATAGAGGTAACAAAGATTTCATTCCCTTTTGGTATGCTGTCTCTACACTACATTAACTGTTTTCTTTGCTGTGCAGCCTTTTTAATTTCATGAGGTCCCACTTGTTAGTTGTTGCATTGTTTCCTGAGCAACTTGGGTCCTATTCAGAGAGTTCTTGCCTTGTCTATATCTTGAAGTGCCTTCCATATTTTATTACATTAAGGCTGTTAGTCCATTTGGAGTTGATTTTCATACAGGGTGAGAGAGAGACTGGCTGTGTACAAGTACTATGCTGTTTTTCTTACTGTGCTCTCTAGTGTAATGTGAAGTCAGACATTCCTTTTTGCTCGATTGCTTTATTCTCCGTTTGACTTCCTTTAACTTCCATATGAGTTCTGAGATTCTTTTAATACTCATATGAAGAATCACATTGAAATGTTGATGGTGATTTCACTGGATCTGTAGATTGCGCTCAGCTGTTTTCACAATATTAGGTCTTAACAATCCATGATAATGGGTGGTCTTTCCATATTCTAGTATCTTCTACAACTCATTTTTTGATGTTTGAAAGTTTTCATTATAGAGGTCTTTCATTTACTTGGATAGGTTTATTCTAAGAATATTTTAACGTGAAGGTATTTGAATGGGGTTATTTTCTTAGTTTCATAATCAACATGTCTGTGCTTTGTTATGTAGTATGCCACTTTGCTGAAAGTTTATCAGATCTAAGAGGGTTCCTTGATGGGGTCTTTCGGGTCTTTTATATGTAGAATTATATTTACAAGTAAGGATGCTCTGACTTCTTCCTTTTCTGTTTGTTTTCCTTTTATTTCCTTCTCTTGTCTTATTTTCTCTAATACTTTGAGCTCTATTTGAATAACAGTAGAGGAAGTGAATA